AGGGTGTCCTCTGGGTGGAGCAGGGTGTCCTCTGGGTGCAGCAGGGTATTCTCTGGGTGGAGCAGGGTGTCCTCTGGGTGCAGCAGGGTATTCTCTGGGTGGATCAGGGTGTCCTCTGGGTGCAGCAGGGTGTCCTCTGTCTGTTGTTCCTGTCGGATGTGCTCGTTCTGCGGTTCAGTGTGTCGTCCTTCTTGGTCTTTGCATAAATTGGAATCATTGCCTTGAGGATGGGTACTTGGCGCCAACATTTGGCTTCATTGCACACACACACTGGAGGTGTGTGCATTTACCCTTTGGTTGAAGGGGAGGTGGAATTCCCATCCCATCATACCTCCCATTGGAGTCCACGAGGAGCTAAATTTAGGGACATTCTGTTGGGAAGAAAGCCCTTTCACAGGTCTTTCTCTCTCTCTTTTCTTTACTACAGCCATGTATGAAGATCATTGAATAGACGGATGCAGTCAAATATAAAGGGACAGAGCGATATAAGTTAGGGACTATTTCTACGCTGTAACATTGTGTCTTAAATTGTTTCACATGCAGCTTGCTGGTACTTGGTAGCTTTTTTCTTCCTTCTTTACAGACGTGGATTCCCATTCTATAGGAACCTCTTGAACATGAAATAATACAATCTAAACTCATCAACACATTGAAAGAATTACAAGTAACTTCATGTTCTATGTGATCTTTTTACAACCCAACTGCATCATCTTTAATCTCTGTCATTAATCATCCTACTATGTTTGTAGAAATGGATTCACAACAAGTATAACATCATACCTTTCAGCTTATATAAAGACTTAAAGTATACTGTCTAATTCAGGGGTCTTCAACATTTTTCAGGCCAAGGACCCCCAAACTAATAGAGAGATGGAGCAGGGACCCCCGACCATATATATTGTATAAAATAGTGTTTTATATTAAATGGGCCTAGTGCCATATATAAACATACCTCCTTATTGTGCATTCAATACTAAGCTATTCAAATAATACACAGGTTCATATATTCATGTTTTTATTTTAAACATGTGCAAGGTACAGTGAGTAGGGGGGCCGTGCCACTGCCATTTATAAACACACCTTGTCAGCTGATACCAATGCTAACATCAACATTGTCTGTTAATTGCATGATAATCATGCATACAAGATATTCACACTGATGTTTTCATTTTAAATAAATAAATGTGGAAACGAAAATGAGTGATGGCCTATTAGTGCCACTGCCATTCATAAGCATACCTGTTATCTTGCATACAATACTGAACTATTAAAATAATGGACAGATTCATGTTTGGAAAAAAAAAAAAAAGAAAAGTTGTCTAATTAACCAAAAATTTCGCGGACCCCCTGCAGTACCTCCGCGGACCCCCTAGGGGTCGCGGACCCTCTGTTGAAGACCTTTGGTCTAATTAATAAACTACCATTTATCTAACTCTATTAATTCACTGACTGTCGCTGCCTTCATTATGAGATCTATGAAGAGAACCATCTTGAAATGAAGCTGTCTCATTGACAGACGGTTTAACCTTTGGACACAAAGACAATAAATTCTTTACGTCACACACAAGTGAATTGTCAGCAGACATGCAGTGTTTTATGACTGCTATATGAACATCCACTCACATTATTGTAGGCAATCCATCACTCTTATCATTCACTTCTAAGCAGGTCATCAACGGTCTCCACTTCCACATTCCCATGAGAGCTGTTTGGTCCTAATATATCATCCATTGGTGGGGGGGGCTCAGCAGTTAAATGCTGGCATTATCTTCTGTTTTTCATTCTGTGCGATCTGAAAGTAAGCGAACTGGACAGACTTAGTTTTAAGTACCATGTGCGTTGCAGCAGTCTGCCACTAAAGAGGGAAGTGGTGTCAGTCAACTGGTTTCCTCACAGTGGTTCAGTACAGATCCATCTGTGGGACGTCTGTGCTGTTCTTCAGGCCATGGAGAAAAGCTTCAGAGTCAGCAAGCTTTGCATTTTGTCCGTGAACATAGCCCTGGTCTCTGTGGCAACCATTGTCACGATGTGGACTATGGCCCTGACAGGAGGAGGCGACGGTGATGATGTCACAGCTCCTTGGGACAGGTAGGACATTGATTCAGCAAACTGTTTGACACTTGAAGGATGATGATACATAATACAGAATGTGCTGAAGGTTATCGTTAGTGCAGACAAATACAAAGATCCAATGTGCCTCGCAGGATGGTGAAGAATGATGCAATACAACATGAATGAGAAATATAATTGGATCAATAAATCCTAATCTAGCTTTATTTAAATCCCTGTAGATGCAGCACACACAGTGATTGGTCATTGAATAACAGCTAAATGGTCTTTTGGTCCTTAGCTTCAGTATTCCTCCATCACTAAGTGAGACAACATGAAGTCAATATTATTTTACTGTGATATCTACTAAGTCTAAAAGACTCAGTCGTCAGTTTATGAGGTACCTATATTTATAACAAAGTGTCATTTGTGGTTTATCTTGTTTACAGATAATATGTACAGCATATACATTCTGTTTCTGCAGTAAGATTATATTTGTGCATACTATTGCACAATATGTATCTTACAATATAATACAATATGGAAATACATTAAGATGTTTGTGTATTTCTTGTGTTAATGCACCTTATTAATCAACACTGAATAATGGAACATTTACTAAGATAATATGACACCATGATCTAAAGTGTAGTTGATTTGATGCGGATGAAAAGCATTTTAAAGTGAATGTAAAATGTAATGTGAGAGAAGAGTGAGGGTCAGTATGATATTTCAGTAAAGCAGCAGTGTGTTACCTGTTTACCAAACACCTGCATTCTGCATCACTGTGTCCTGCTTAGAGGCACAGTGCCAGTTTCTACTGGCAGAAAGCGTTTATATTATTTATACATTATTTGCGTCTGTATTTATTGATAATCTGATTGTGATGCCATTATTTAATAACCCAGAATATGATTTGAACACTAGAAATGATTTATTAGGCAAAATGTTTGTGGAAAATTGAAATTATGTAACTAATCAAACACTCGAGAATGATCAGCCTAATGTGACTGAATGGTGAAATGATGATAAATTGTGTGTTTCTTGCTAAAAGACAGATTTAATTATATCCAAAATAAAAGTTATTGGGCCAAACAACAGACCATGAAAAGTCAAATCTCTGTAATAAATGAGGAAAGTTTGTTGCCCTTTTGTTGTTCAGACCTACAAAAACATTTTAACCAGATGGTGAATCGGAAAACAAATTAAAGTTTACAGTTTAGTATTACTAGAGTTTGATCTGTGGCCTGTCTTCACTCCGGTATGAAACCTCAGTAATGTTGAGATGTCACATCAGTCTGATCAGCTGCAGCGTCCAATCAAATTACTGATATCCAATGAGGGGGCGTGTCGGCAGTTAAAAGACTTTCTGGTAGGCTGTTTCGTGCGTCCTTGCTCATGGCTCCTCAGAGATCCCTCCTCCCGCCTCGATCCTCGATCCTCCCTCCTCGATCCTCGATCCTCCCTCCTCGATCCTCAGAGATCCCTCCTCCCTCCTCCCTCCTCTATCCTCAGAGCAGAAATAAGAGCTTTGGGACGGCCGTCATCATGGCGGACCAGAACTACTTTACGTGAGGATCGAGAAGTGAGAAAATGTCAAATAAGACACTTGGGATGTACTTTAAGAATAAGCAGGAGCACGGCCATCACTGTGACAAAAAACAAGCCATGTTCACTCTGTCTTCACAGTGCTTTCCTATGGTTGAATGAATTATGACTGTTGCTTGGCAATTAAAAAGGTGGACTTTGCTGGATGTTGTTATAGCACAAATACATTCAGTAAATACATCGTTTGATTCCTTTCAGTGACCTTAGAATTTCTCCCCTGCAGCTACCGGCTCCCCACTGATTTGGTCCCTGACTACTACAACGTCACCCTGTGGCCTCGTCTCAGCTGTGACACAAACACTGGCCTCTACATCTTTACAGGTGATTAACGCTGCTTATTTAAAGCAATGCTTGTGGAAGCATTGCTTTCGAGTCTTTAACTGTGGATGTCAGCAACATTTAAACATCTCATTATTTGAATAAAGATTAAGCAATACAGTGTTTCATAGCATGAAACAACATCTCCCATCAGAGAACCTCCACCCCCCAATATTACACCAAAAGCTTGATGGCCGAGCCCACCCAGGAAAAAATACTTTTCATCTTCTTACAGTTTTTATTCATCACTGCAGCTCTGCAGCTTTGCACAAACTAGCAGCGAGAAAGCTATCATGGACGTTGGACCGTTCATGTTCTATGCAGTGCTGCAACAGCAGTACACGTCCCTGTACTTCATTATTACTGCAGTCTTCTTTATTGCTAAGAATCATGCACAACAATGAAGCAGATTGCTGCAGCAGAATGCTACAGGGCCTGTGCCCATGGCCGAGTGCTCGTTATCGCCTCCTCCAGTGTCCATGGACCCCGGATGTGGACTCTGACTGGCTCTGCAGGCCCTGGCTCTCCTCTCAGCTGCTATGACTGAAACTGATTGTTCTGCCTGCTGATACCAGATTTAAAAGCATTGCAGTCATCAAGTCTGGACATGATAGGAAATAAATTACTCTTTGGTTGGCAGATGGAAGGTTGGCAGATTCTCTAACCTTTCTAAGTGCTCCTGTTCAGCGGCCGGGATCACAGCCATTGGTACCGTCCAGCAGAGACAGTGCATCTATGTGCCGTGGGAGCTGCCACGGTTAGATTCTCTTCTTGAATGTACGAGCAGCAGGGTGAAGCGCATGCTGCCCTGACAGTTGGTGTACGTCATGACGTGGAGCAGAGGCGCAAGGAGGTGCTTCAGTACTCTCAGTACAGTGGACACATGTTTTCTTACACTCTGGGGGTCTCTAGACACACCAGGGACACGCCATGACAAGCCCCCATCAAAGTGTTTTTGGGGGGAGTTTTTCCTTATCTGATGCACTGGTCTAGGGACAGAGGTTGTTGTATGCTAAACAGATGTAAAGTACTTTGAGACACATTTGTGAGTTGTGATATTGGGCTGTACAAATCCAATCAAATGTAATTGATGTTGAATGTAATGTCTTTGCTAATGCCATGCGTTCACCAGGCCAATCCACTGTGGAGTTTGAGTGTGTGAAAGAAACAAATATGATCCTGATCCACTCCAACAAACTCAACTACACCAAGCTGGACAACACACACTTTGCCAGGCTCATCGCTGCAGGTACAGTACAGAAACACACACACACACACACACACGCACACACACACACACACACGCACACACACATACACACACACACACACACACACATAAACACACACACACACACATACACACACACACACACACATAAACACACACACACACACACACACGCGCACACACATACACACACACACACACACATAAACACACACACACACACACACGCGCGCGCGCACACACGCACACACACACACACACACACACACACACACACACATAAACACACACACACACACGCGCACACATATACACACACACACAGTGAAAGACTAAAGCCAGCAAGGAAAAGATGAACACAGTCAAGAAGCTCCTCAGTGGCGAGGAAGCAGGTGAGGATGAGATCTGAGATGGAGCTCTGGACATTGTTGGGCTGTCTCTGCTGACACACCTCTTCAGTGGAGGTCAGGAGTGTGACACTGCTCAGCCACACTTGGATAGTTTATTCCAGGTTGGTGGAAATGAGGGTGTGATTGATTGTCGAACCTCAGATCGAGGAGGAGCTATGCTGATTCCGTCCTGGCCCTGGTCCACTCAGTAAAGAATATCAACTCAGTAAAAAAGTAAAAAATCCACAATAACTAAAATATTATATATACAGACAGAACATCCCCCGTGGAGTCCAGACACTGGTGCTGGTGGTGGTGGCTGATGAGGCTGATAGAATGATGAGTTGATGAAGATGATGGATCTGATGAAGACTGGGTGGAGATGGGGAGGTGGAGGGGTGTGTAACAGCAGCATGAACGTACTGAAGGTAGAGAGACCATCATATTTAAAAGACACAGCAGCAAGATGACAGGCCAACGATGTCATTGTGTTGTTGTGCTATTGGATAGAAGAGACCAGCTGATCTAAACAGCTGATATCATGATTGACAGTAAGGAAATAACTACTACGGGCTTAGGCATGCAAGAGTATAGTCTTCCTGACGGAACTTATGCTAGAGCTTCATTTCTACCCTCACACATGGTTATGAGCTTTACTGTAGGTAGTGAGCGCAGGAGTGAGCGCATGGATTCAAGCAGCCAACATGAGTTCCCTTCATAGCGTGGTTTGGCTCAGTCTTAGAGATGAGGTGAGGAGCTCAGACAAATCCAAAGGGAGCTCGGAGAAGATGAATGGACGGATGGATAGAGGGGTGGATGGAAGGCTGGATATTGCCTCATTCAGGCTTGTTGCTTTGAGATTTGACTAATTTTCATCAAAAAACTAAGATATTTTAAAGAAGAAATTTTCTTGTTATTGTCCTTCAACTAAATTTGATGTCACATGCATTCCGGCTCCTTGAAGCAACCTGCAAGTTTCACGCATTTTAAGGTGAATCTGTCATGAATACAGCTTCAAGCATGTCACAAGTAATGAATGTGCAAGACATACTCAGACAAAGTAAAAGAAAATGTTATATTTGGGGGTTATTTTTGCATAATAATCCCATGTCACTTTTTTCCCCATCAATACTTCTTCCCCAGGTGGCGGTTCGGCTCCCAGTATTAAGTCCTCCTGGCTGCAGCCTAAGACCCAGTATCTGGTTATCCAGCTGAATAGTAAATTAACTCACAAACAGAAGTATCAGCTGCACACTGAGTTCAGTGGAGAACTAGCTGATGACTTGGAAGGCTTCTACAGGAGTGAATATGAAGAAGGTGGAGTGCTAAAGTAAGTTCTCTGTTCTGTGTTCCTGATATCTATATTCTGTTTTAGTAAGCTCATTTCAAATCTGTACATTGTGTTGATAGGCACCGTGTTCAGAATGTTTTGCTCATTTTCAGGATTGTTGCCACCTCTCAGATGCATCCAACTCACGCCAGAAAGACCTTCCCGTGTTTTGATGAGCCAGCAATGAAAGCTGTTTTCCATATAACTCTCATCCATCCCCCTGGAACTGTAGCCCTGTCCAATGGGATGGAAACAGGTTAGTGGAGTCCACGTACTGTATATCAAAGCAGAGCTGGATTTGCATAAATCTACCGTTAAAGATTTCAGTCACTATTTTGCATGCAAACAGATATGGAGCGATTAACTCCACAGAGATGTTTCCAGAGAAGTTGGATAACCAGCCATGATCACTTCAGGCAACTACAGCTCGGGCCCAAGACCTCCTGCGGCCCTTAAGGCCGAGGTTACGGTTATATTGGTCACTTCTTGGTAATTTAATAACATGCAAATTCTGGGGTGAATTTGCACCACTAAAATATAATCACTAGATCCTGGGCTACTACCAAATCTCTTCAGTCCGACCTTGTAGATGACAACTGTGTAAATTGAGCTGCACAATCTAATTTATTTAAGTTTTGTTTTATTTTCCTCCAAATTAGACATTAACATTAATGACTTTTCCTAATTTAATAGGAACAACTGGGTAAACATAAAATGAACATGATAATATGTTTTCAGTGTCCTGTACACATGCTGTACCCCTCGGTGTTCTTTGGGGTCTATTTGACTCCAGGCTGTTTTAGCTGTAAAACATATAAGAAATATCAACATTTTACACACATTTGTTTTGGTTGTTTTGGATGATATTGAGGTCACTATAACATGCAATTTTATAATCTTCAAAGAGCTTTAGGGCCCTAACCTAACATAAGCATAACTGTAGTAGTGCGAGAACCACTGATAGTTCACACGACATGGGGGCGGAGCACACACTTGCACAGCAGCCTTCTAAAGCATTTCTCTTGGTGCTCTGTGTTCTCTCTCTCTCTCTCCTCTCTCTCTTCTCTCTCTTTCTGCTCTCTCTCAACTGAAATGAATTGTAAGGAAAGGTTTTCTGTCAATGATGGGTTGTTTCATCTCTTTGACCATGAAAGTGACATAGAGGAGAATGTGTCTGAGACAGAGCATGATGTTGAGGAGGACCCTGATTATGAGGCATCCTCCTCTGATGAGAATGAGACCCTCAGTGTTGACCCTCCTGTTGTCTCTCAACCACCAGCAAACACACTACCTTCCAAACATGGGAAGTTATTATGGTCCGTCTCCCCACTTGAACAACAGGGTAGACTTAGTGCTGCTAATGTCATCAAAATGGTTCCAGGTCCCACCAGATACGCTGTCAGCCATGTCCAAGACATACAATCAGCATTTGAGCTCTTCATAAATCGAAAAGGATATACTTGAGATGACAAATTTAGAGGGGAGATGCATGTATGCGGACAGTTGGTAAGACTTGGATGTGACCCACTTGCAGGCCTACATTGGGTTGCTCATTTTGGCAGGAGTGTACAAGTCAAAAGGCGAAGCAACAGCAAGCCTTTGGGCTGTTGACACTGCAAGGGCAATATTTCCAGCCACCATGTCTCTAAACACATTCCATGTTTTCTCCCGTGTCATACGCTTTGATGACAGAGAAACAAGGCAGAGCCGACGAGAGCGTGACAAACTCGCAGCAATATGGGATGTATGGGACAAGTGGGTTCAGCGATGACCCTTTCTTTACTATCCAGGCCCTCACATGACTGTGGATGAATGTCTGGTTGTGTTTCGTGGGCGCTGTCCATTCAGACAATACTGAAATTGTGTTTGTTTTTCCTGGGGTCAAATTGACCCCGAACATAATACATGTTACTATTCTTTATAACAGAAATTGTTTTTTGTTCCAAATATTATAGATAACAAACATATGTACTTAGAAATAATTTAAAGCCTTTTAAACTATTATTCAGCAGCCTAAACACCAAAGAGAGGCCTCTGAGTGAACTATTCAGAACTGTTTGGGGTATTTCTCCCACATAGCCAACTATTCTGGAGGATTTGTGTGAATGTTTTGGATGATCTGTAAAGGTTAAAGATCCACAATGTATTGGAAGGAGGTGTCAGTCAGAGCTTAACGTTACGGTTACAGACACAAATGAGGAAGACTGGAGGAGAGTAGAGAAGACGGACTGAGCTATGCCAACAGAGACTACCTAGCAGTACGACAGAGGAACATGATAAATGGTTCAGATATCAGAGCAGACTCCTCTCCGGTACTTTTAATCCATTTGGATCATCTACGATAGCAGCGGCAATATTGTGTGTAGAGGTCATCATTGTTGGTCTGGACCCATGCAACAGGCAACAGGGAGAAATGGAATCATTTGATTACCTACAGATGTTTCTGCTATCATCTGAAGGAATTGTGGCTGCGTAACCAGAGTGAAGTGCAGTGGTAAAAGTAGGGGGTGCACATGATAAGTGTAGACACAAGGTGGGAGCAGCGCTCCATCATGTGTACCTGAGTTTTCCACATCGATCACTACTGTACATCAATGCACAGAATGAATTGTGAAGAACAAGAATGACGTCACTTGACTTTGTCTGAAAGGTGTGGCTCCAGGAACCAGACAGAATAGTGACCCCATGTTGAAACAAATAAAGCTGGACAAGTTTAAGAAGACCGAAAACCTGTTATATTGTTATGCTATTTTCCCAATATCATTCAGAAAACTAAAGTTTTCTACTCTATATTGTACTTGAGTTTACAGTACTTGTCTTCCTCCTAATGTTTATTGTACCAAACACCAAGGCTTCCTTGCAAGTGAAAACCTTAATAACAACAACAACTTAATTCTGATTTCTACTGATCTTTACAATCTGTAGACCAGACAACATCCTCGGTCTTTGGACCTTCACACCGGAATAGGAAAAACTCCCCAAAAACACCTTTAACAGGAAATAAAGGAAGAAACCTCAGGAAGAGGTAGCAGTACTAGTAAGACACACATGACTAATAATAATTAGAATCATAGTAGCAGTGGGTGTCAGCAGAAGACACAACCACGGTCCAGTATAACCATGATCCATCAAAACCTGCAAAGCGAGAAAGCACAAAAACTCTGGGAAAGGAGCGCAGCTAGACTGAAAGTGGAAGTTGGTTCCACAGGAGAGGAGCATACTAGCTGAAGGCTTTGACTCCCATCCTACTTTTTGAGACTCTAGGAACCACAAGTAACCCTGCACTCTGGGGGCACAGCTCTCGAGAGGAGTAATAGGGCACTATAAGCTCCTTAAGATATGACGGTGCCAGACCAATCAGGGTTTCTGGATGTTACAGGGAGTCAGTGCAGAGAAGCTAATACAGGAGTAATATGATCTCTTTTCTTAGTTCTTGTTAGTACACGAGCTGCAGCATTCTGGATCAACTGGAGAGATTTCAGAGACTTATTAGAGCAGCCTGATAATAAGGAATCGCAGTAATCTAGTCTAGAGGTAACAAATGCATGAACTAATTTCTCTGCATCGCTTTGAGACAGGATGTGCCTGATTTTTGAAATGTTATGTAGGTGAAAAAAGCATTCCTTGAAGACTGTTTTATCTGAGAGTTAAAAGACATATTCTGATCAAAGGTAACTCAGAGATTCTCTACGGTGGTGCTGGATGCCAGAGCAATGCCTTCTAGAGAACCTACATCATCAGATAACTGATTTCGGTGTTCAGGGCCTAGTACAGAGGTCCCCAACTGGCGGACCGCGGTCCGGATCCGGACCCAGACGCAGTTGCATCCGAACCCAGCATTTCAAACCGATAGATAATTAGGAAATATACGGTACATACTTGAAAGCGGGTTTATACTTTAACCGGCGCAGCTTTTCCAGACGTTACGGCACTTGTTCAGCGGTGCAGGAAACACACCGACCAATGCGTTGTAAATCACATCACGTGATGCAGCTCAGCCAATCAAATATGGGTATTCTGACAAGTTTCCTGATTCGAGTGACATTTACACACACCATGACACACGGGGAGAGACGAGGAAAGAGAAAGAAAAGCAGGAAAATTGCGACGATCAGAGACGTTATCTCACATGACGTTCTCCAACAAGAGAAACATGTTCAGAGAGAATATCATTTTTAAGCAAGGATTGAAAGACTCTTCTATGTTAATTATTCCCACAGGAAGTTAAAACCAGCATTTCTATGTATTATTTATAATCCATCCAGTTAAATTTGAAAACTGAGAATAATAATTTGTTAAAATATAATTGATGTGTACTTTCTTTCTTTGATTTGACAGTTGTTGACTACACAGAGTACTAGACTTCTTGAATATATATATATATATATATATATATATATATATATATATATATATATATATATATATGGCACTAAATAGATATTATTGTAATGTTTCGGACCTTTGCCCGAGGAGATTTTCTCAATCTGGACCTTTTGGAATTTTAGTTGAAGACCCCTGGCCTAGTAGAATAACTTCATGTTCAGCATCAGGAAGTTGTCGGTCAACCAGGTTTTTATATCCTTAAGGTAAGGATTATGTTGCCTAAAGGAAGCATATATATGGTGAATAGAATTGGTACAAGCACATCACTTGGAACTCTGCGACTAACTTTGGCCACATTCACCAGTACAAACTGAGATCCATCTGATGAATGGATCTTAAACCAGCTTAATGCAGTTCCTTTGATGCCCATTAAATGTTCCATTTCATGGTCAATGGTGTTGAATGCAGAAGTAAGATGTAGCAAGACAAGTGCCGAGACAAGTCCTTTGTCTGATGCGATCAGAAGGTCATTGGTATTTCTTACCAGTGCTGTCTCTGTGCTGTGATGCTCTCAGAATCCTAAAGGAACAATCCTCAAATAAACTATTGCTCTGTAAAAAGTCACACAACTGAGAGGAAGGGAAGGTGAGAGAGGTGTTAAATAATATGTTTTACATTTAGGCTACTACTCAGCTAGGTGCATCACCTTACTTGTAAAAAGAGAACACATGTGTAGAGGAAGGAGCAGGCAAAGAGCCACATGAGTGAGCTCTGCTCTGTGTGCTAGCAGAGACACAGAGGGGCTGTCTGACAATCACAGACATAAACCAATGTTCATAAACTCTAATCCTCCTAAAATCCCTTTTCCAAAATGTAACAGTGTTACTTTAATGTACATGCCATTGCTATTTAAATAAATGTATTATTGTTCAGCTGTGTGTTTGTGTCTTTTCAGATATTGTCAACACGACTATCGATGGAGTAGCTGTGACACAGACCAGGTTTGAGCGTACAGAGAAAATGTCCACCTATCTGCTGGCCATGGTCATCTGTGACTACACACAGCTCAATGCTACACAAGGAGACACTCTGGTAACTGTCATGCAGTGGCTCTATAACTGAAATCACAATGGTACTCTAACTAAAGTTACATAAAACCTTCTCACAGCAGACATTATGACCAGTCAAGCATGTGCCTAACACTGATTTCTGCATTGCACTGTATTATCTGCTGTCACTTCTGTTATCAATCCCACCTCTGCTTCTTTGCTGTGACTCGTCAAAGGTTTTGCTGTAAAAAAGGTCCACAAATCTGATTTGGTATCAAGAAAGATTCTATTCTAAGTACAAGACGGACAGATGTCTGACAGGGACGGAAAGACAAACTGATGATGCTCACTGAGAGAACATGCCGGTCAAGTCCAAACGTTTGTGAGTTGGTGGTTCAGGCAAAGTTTAACCTGCATTTCCACCAGGAAATAATTAGAAACAACAAACTAACTGGCACACAGCAACCTCAGACAGGATGGTATTCCAGTGGAAATGCATTTGTTCAAATCAAAAGGAATTTTCTTCTGTGAAGCATGAATGTGTGTGTGTGTGTGTGTGTGTGTGTGTGTGTGTGTGTGCTCAAAGTGATGGACATATCAGACAGACAGCTGACGATCACTGCCAGCCTGATGACTCAATCAGTTGGAGCTGTATCACAACGGTTCTTGATCTTAACAGAGAGGGACTTTGACAATTATAACAAATGTGCTTGAGCTCACAAATAATTTGAGAGTTAAACTGTGAGCACTGCACAGCATAAGAGAGAGATGCTCCTCTTTTACATTGCAGGTCCCACTGCTTGGTATGTCTGTTATTAATATGACTTGTTGCTTGACTGCCATTAACTGTGTTCCAGTAGTCATTGAGCTGTAAGCCATTCCAAATGGTGAGATGGTGACGTCAGAGTTGTGAAAGGGATTTGAGGGCGTGGGAAAGAGGAAGTGACAGAGTAGATTTGTGGGAAAGAGGAAGTGACAGAGTAGATTTGTGGGAAAGAGGAAGTGACAGAGTAGATTTGAAGTGTAGAATTAGCAGCAGAACAACAGGAACTACCACTAGAAGGAAAAGAGGGAAGATATCTTTCTTATTGAATTTGCGGCAAAGCTTCATGTTGCGAGGCAAAGATGTATTTCATTATTAGAGTTGTAGAAATGAATATTTTTATTATCAATATTGTGATGATTATTTTTTGAACCACGATTAATTTTTTTTATTTCTATAAAATGTTTGAAAACGGCCGATCACAAACTTCACAGAGCCCCAAAGGTGTCGTCTGGTTTTGTCTGGTTAAGACACAAATATATTAAATTACTATACAAAACCTCACGTTTCAAGATTTGGCATAGTAGCGTCATGAATATATATGAATAATATACATATGTAAATAAATATTTTGTTTAAGCACAAGTGACAATGTTATATAAATTGGTTTAGTGTCTTTCTCCTGATATCTACTGTACATATTCTTTAGTTTAGCCTGTAATTTTATGAAAATGTCTACACGTCAGTCTCTTAAAAGCTTTATGCATGATAATACTTCATTTACATAACGTTTGCTGTTTTGTGTTCAGATCCGTATCTGGGCTCGCAGGACGGCCATTGAGCAGGGACAGGGGAGCTATGCTCTCAATGTGACTGGACCCATACTGGACTTCTTCCAGTCGTACTATAACGTGTCCTACCCTCTCAGCAAAGCAGGTGAGTCTGCATCTATCGTCTACTTTCCAGGACCAAAATGGGCATTTTCAATTATCGATTTTATTTCTATTTCTTGCTTAATATGAGGGGGTTATTTTAAAATAACTGCAAATTACTTTAATGTTCTGTACTAATTAGCAAGAGTTGCTTACCTAAACTAAGATAGTGAACATGGTAGACATTTCTGCCTAACATCAGCACGTCAATACCGCCATCGTGAGCATGTCAGCTCAGGACTACCGATCAAGTACAGCCTCACAGAGCCCAGACAGGACGAAGAGTTAGGAGCAGACAAACACGTGAGATCTATGTTGAAGCTGCAGCGGGCCTCACATGCATGAAACAAGCAAATGTCCACCGTGTTTTCCATCGTTTGACTTTTGGTGCTGTGCTCTTACAATTGGCACCTGACTGGAGAATTACTGCCTGTATATCTTGATGCGTGCAACTCCTAACATTCACACAATACTAGTGGGTTGGTACAAAGATTATTTTGCATGTTCTTTTGCTGATTTTCAGGAGATTCTTTTATAATGTGCACTACATTTGGATGGAAACTTGACTTGGTTGAGGAAGCTGATCACTGTTGGGTATACACTGCACTACATCCTTGTTCAACAATAAGGCCTGACATGTAAGAAGAGAGCAGGCTTTCTTTTGCTGAGATCTCATCCATTTCATATTTTAAATATCCTGCTGCTCAGAACAGGAGATATGATAGGATATGCTGAGGTATCTCACATTGCAGGATGTTCCTCAACTCAAATGACAAAAAACAAACCTATTTCCCTGAGATCTCTGCTGCCATCCCAGGACAAAGGGGTTGATGGAATACTGCTGCTCGGCTCTCCCTGGATAGCTTGGTAACACTAGAGGGAAGTTAGGAAATGCTTTTTGTAAAATGAAGGGATGAACCACATTTCTAGGGTTGTGGCGTATATTGGCGTGACTTTAAATCCAGTTCCTTTAATCTACATTCAACCTGGTCTCTACAGATCAAATTGCTCTGCCAGACTTCTATTTTGGTGCGATGGAGAATTGGGGTTTGGTGACATACAGAGAAACCAACCTTCTCTATGACCCAGTGACCTCCTCCAGCAGGAATAAAGAGACCACTGCCACCATTATTGCTCATGAACTAGCACACATGGTGAATAGATTTCCTTTTGAATTGTATCTATTGATTGATTTACTCATTAAGTAGTCAACACTGATGTCATCTCTGGTGCAGTGGTTTGGTAACCTGGTTACTCTGCGCTGGTGGAATGAGGTCTGGCTGAACGAGGGCTTTGCGTCGTATGTGTCTTACCTGGGAGCAGACCATGCTGAGCCTGCATGGGATGTGGTGAGAACACAATGCTCCGTTGACACTAGCTAGCCTACATACGTACATTTCTGTCATCACCCTTGCACATCATATGACATCTTAATACATTTCTGTTTGTCTGTTTGCTCCAGAAAGACTTGATCATACTAGATGACGTCCACAAGGTGTTTGCAGTCGATGCCTTGACCTCCTCTCATCCCCTGTCTTCTGAAGAAGACAGTATTATCTTGCCAGGCCAAATCAGTGAGCAGTTTGATGTCATCTCATATAGCAAGGTACACAGACATCAGAAAAAGATTTGTATGTCATGTATTACAGCATAAACACGTCCACAGTGCCTTTCACAGGTTGCTGTACATAGTATTGTATATATTATGCTGTACAAGAGAAGATACTTGTTGCTCTTGTAAACTGATGTATCGTCTGTGGCTCCTCAGGGTGCAGCAGTGCTGAGGATGCTGTCCGATTTTCTCTCAGAGCCGGTCTTTGTCCAGGGACTCAGCGTACGTTTGTCTGTATTTTTGTTGGCTTAACATGATAAAATGGGGCGGCTGTGTGTTCGTGGGTGAGCGGGTTGTCTTTAACCACAACCACAGATTGAGTTGTTCCTTTGTCTTCAGAGATACCTCCAACACTTTGCCTACAGTAACACAGTAGGGAATGACTTGTGGCATCATCTACAAATGGTAAGATGGAAGTCTTTTTATTATTTTGCAAAATGTTATTTGAAGTTTACACATTTTTTATTACAATTAGCTGCAATGGCAACATGTGGTGCTTTCTTGTAGTATTGTGTGCCCATTGGCTTTGGCGTAGAATATTCAACTTGTGTTAATAACCTTTTATCAAGAAAACATGTCGAAAGACAGAACTGTATTGTCTGCGTGTATTGTCATATGATTTTCAAATCCCTCCGGGTGTATTCCGCAGATTGAACGGAGCTTTCTGACACCAAAGGCCGGAGAGCTAATTCACTTAATTTGCAAACCATTCACAAATTGACTCTGTAGTCTTACAAAACTCATCTTACATCACTGACTTACTATAGTGCGTCTTTACCCATTAATTATGCAAGCTTGACATTTACAAAATCTCTAAATTTGAAACATCTAAGTTTATAAAAACGATGTTTAGATACAGTAGATTCATGATAACTAACTCTGTTTACAATCATGTTAGTTTCCTGCCATATAAACTGGATGTTGATTGTCCTGCAACTTTTCTCTCAACCACAGCTCAGACCACCACAGGGGGGAGAATGTCCGCCCCCCTACCTTGTCTCTCACCCAGAACACTGATTAGTGCTGGAATGTTGAGTTTAATCCATGTATTTATTATGCATATGGACACATCCATGTATATCTACATAGGTCTGTGTCATAATAACAATGTCTGTCTATAAACAGGATAAACAATGTGTTCACATACTGTGTAATTTTAAGTCATTGTATATTTTATTAACAACAGATGTTCTGGTCACACTCATGTGCATTTGGGCCTTTAAAGAATTGAAGTGTGTTGTATTTGACATATTTGTTTATGTAATATAAATACCTTAAACTAAATACATGGAAGTGTTTAATGTTTCCTGTCATCTTTGTCAACAGGCAGTGGAAACAAATGATGTTTCACTACCTGGTCCGGTTTGTACGATCATGGACCGCTGGGTGCTCCAGATGGGCTTCCCAGTGGTGACCCTAGATACCACCACAGGACAGGTATCCCAGAAGCACTTCCTGCTGGATCCAGAGTCCAACATCACAGTTCAATCACCTTACAAGTATGCAACACTGGCTACAACGTTTCACTGCAACATATTTGCAAGGATTATATTTTCCTCACGAGTTACTTCACTTCAAGTGACTCAAAGTTGCATTATTCTTCAAACCTAAATGCATTTTGATAATGTACTGTATGTGGCAGTAATTGAGAATGAATCAGAATGTATTGCCTTCCCTAGCTTTGAGTGGCTGATCCCTGTTAGGTGGATGAAGAGCGGCGAGGTAAAGAGAGATATCTGGTGGCTGCTGGAAAAAGAAGGTGTGTAATAATATGCTAGCAATCCACACAACTCATATTGACTGATACAGCCGGTTACACAGTTTGCACATGATGTGACAGTGATATGTATTAATACATAATGCCTTTGTTCAATGACGTTATTTAATGTTTTTAATGTTTTACTGGTTCTGTTCTCTTCTCAGCGGTAAACTTGGAGATGAAGAGAGGTGGTTTGTGGGTTCTGGCCAACATCAATGTAACCGGGTACTACCGGGTAAACTATGACCTGGGGAACTGGGAGAGGCTCTTAGCTCAGCTTCATTCAGAGCACCAGGTACAGTCAGGCTGCTCCGACACATTCCACACGCTGACACTTGTTTATCCTGTCTTTGTTTTCATTCTCTCTTCCATTACTTTGTTGAGTGTTTTCATAATGTTCATCATATTTGACACATACACTCTGTTGTGCAGGTGATACCGGTGATAAACAGAGCCCAGCTTGTGGATGATGCTTTCAATCTGGCCAGGTATGTCACTTTGTCCAACCCATCTCCATGCTCGGTCTCATTAGAGTCGAAGAGTTAGAACCCAAGTCAAATCAAGACACATATTTCTTACTACTTGTTGCCATTGTGAATAACAGAAAGGCCTGCCATCAGTATACCTGCCTACAAAAGGAAACTGTTATGAATATGGGCTAAGCATTTAAATATGAAATCCCACAATAACCATCTAGCTATTCAGTGTGTAACCAGTGGGGCTGAAGTGATTTCTTTATGTCAGGGTGCTAGATGACAGATGATTGGGTCAGTACAATCAAAAGGGTGGATCCCCTTCAAACAACCTGGAAACAGTTAACACATTACATATAGATCTGTCTTCTGGTGATGTTTCTGTGGCAGACTACAACCCAAAAGCACAACCCAGAGAGCAGTCAATGTCAAAATAAGTTCTGTTTATGAGTCGAAAGGACAGCAGGGGTTAAAGGCACGAGATCGAGCAGCACAGGCAAACTGATCTAACAGAGGACAGGCAAGGTAGTCCATACCACTGCAAGTCTTAGTGCTCCATTCCAATTCATCTAACTTGTTGTTTGGCATTATTTTCTAAATGTAAAATATCAGACTTGTGTGAAGTGGCATCACACGCAGCACGCTGTGGCTCAGGAGTGTGAGCGGGTCTTCTGTTCACCAGGAGCTCGTTGGTCCTGAAATCTGAAATGACCTGAGAGATAGTGATGATGGCAGGAATACAGGACAGATGAAAGAAACTCCAATATGAGTTGTGACACTTTTAGGTTATGACATATAACATAACTGTTCTTCACTTCCCCAGAGCGGTTCTTAACAAGGCTACAAGCAGCAGCAACCGGCCTGTTATAGACAGACAGCCAAGCAGCAATACCGAGCACATCAAAGTGCTCAATAAGTCCATGGCAGATCCATCACTAGTTTTTGATATTTCTTTTGGAATATCCTGATAGAGTCCTGATAGTGGAGCAAGAGGAAGGGTCCATGAGGGTTTATTCCAGGACTGAATGTGATGCCGTATTTAAGGGTCAATTACCAAAAGACAGAAACAAAACAAAACCTTTTCACCTCCATCGTGTTACGGTGCAGGCCGTCAGCTCATAGACTCATGGTCCCAATGTAACATTATATCATCTAAACCACACACATCTCATCTCTCTGCAGGGCTCAGATGGTCTCCACTACTCTTGCTCTGAACACAACCCTCTACCTGTCTGTGGAGGCAGAGTACATGCCCTGGCAGTCTGCTCTGGATAATCTGGGCTATTACTACCTCATGCTGGACCGCACTGAAGTCTATCAGCCTATGCAGGTACACTACACTATCTGTGTATACCAGTGGCAAAGATTCTTCAATGTTTAGCTCACTTACAACATGTTCATTTACACCACCGTGGTGAGTCTGTATGGAGGCAGGAACCAGCATCTGTTACTCATGTCTGTGATGCTTCTAGGACTACATAAAGAAGCTGGTGACGCCTCTCTTCCTGTACTTCAAAAGCATTACATCAGACTGGACCCTTGTTCCTGACAGACACACTGACCAGTGAGTATACTCACCTGGATACAAAAGTATATGCGTGAACAATATACTGTACGTATATGTACTAAAGCGCTAATGGCTAATGGTGAATGTATTGATCTGGGAAATGAGACTGTGCCTACAGCTCCTGTACATGAGTTTTGTAAAAATAATGAAACCATAATTTACCAGCCGCTACATGTTGGATGTACTGTAGGCCCGCAGACCCCTGGTCCACATTCACCAAGGGGCCATAAAGGAGCCCATAAGATCACACACTGTTTTCCTTTTTTTACCTTGAGTTTAATTTGACTGTTTTTATTTTTTACACATTAAATAAAAAAATATTTAATAACAATTATCCTGAGAGGAAAAAATATTTAAAACAAATGTGATTTGACATAATGCAGCGGGCTATGCATTCTGTCTGGTCCCTTCAATGGGCCCCTGGCCTTAGTTTTGCTTTGCTGTTTCGATGGACTTGGTAAATTAGTCTCTTGAGTTAATTTTTAAAACACATTTTGAGAATATGTTTGATGTACAACCTCTGCAGTTGCTTCATGTCCTTCATGGCCATCTGTCCCAGCTGCTTGATCTGTTCCGTGCATGTGCTGGCATGGTTCCCCAGAATGCCTTGCGGGTAGACCCGCCTCTACGATGCTAACTGCCACTCCGAAACTAGACAGGCCGGAGAGGAGAGACTGAGCCACAGCAGCTCAGGTTCATGATCCCGAAGTCTGAAGGGAGGCTACCCGTCCGACAACGGGTGTTTTTATTTTTAGCAAGGGCCTGCAGAGCATGTTGGAGAAGCAGAGGGAGGGCAGGATGTGTCCATGCTTGCTATCGGCCGGCCTCCGATGTCCACGCACCACTGGATGTCCAGTGTCCAACATGTTCTGTGGGCCCTGCCTCTCCAGCCCCAGCAGAGCCTCCAGACTTATACAAACAACCAAGAGTTTCATTTAGACTTATCTATCAGACACACTTGTAATAATATTGATATGCATTATTATTATTGTACACATTCCCATATTTTTATATTTATTAGAGGCTACCATGTCATTATTATTATTATTATCAATAATTTACAATGGTGTTAAACTGACAATATTCTACAAAGTTGATTTCTCGCCTCAAAAATGATCAGAAATGAATGTAATGATATATAACAATTGTAATTAGCCTTCCTTCTGACTATGGCAGGTCTATAAGCATTATAGCTAGGCTAACGTTAGCGTATTTCAGCCTGTTGCCAATCAGAGGCAGACTAGTGATGAGTCTACCCACAAGGCACGCTGGATAGGTGCTCCGGTATACGTGCGGAACAGATGTGGGGCAGCTGGGATGGATCAGGTACCGAAAAAGTATATTTAATATATTTTGTAATCCAGAGGCAGGAAATGGAGGGAGAGAGAGAGAGAGAGAGAGAGAGAGAGAGAGAGAGAGAGAGAGAGAGAGCAAAAGTCAGTCAGACTCAATCAGTGTCTTGATAACCAACCGTCGAGCCCCGAACCACTTAAAATGTATTGACATTTAAAGCAGACTGGGTCTTCTTCATCTTCTTCATCAGACCTGGAGCAGCAGGGGGACGTACATTTAACACTTTGGTCATACTTGACAACTTTGTTTTTTCTGTAGCACCTTATCATGTTTTAACATGTTTGTCTGTCTCTGCAGGTATAACCAGGTCAATGCCATCCGTATGGCCTGCAGGACTGGAGTAACAGAATGCCAGAACCTGACCACCACATGGTTCAAACAATGGATGGAGACCCCTCAACACAATCTGTTGGTCTATTTTATAGGTCATTTGATCATGGCCCTTTCTTTTAAAAGTCAAATTTTTGGTTAACTCCAGCTCTCTTGTCAGGATCCATCCCAACCTGCGTTCAGCAGTGTACTGCAGTGCCATGGCAGCTGGTGATGAGGCAGAGTGGGAGTTCGGCTGGTCACAGTTCAAGAATGCTACTGTAGCCAGTGAGGCCAGCAAGCTCATGTCTGCACTGGCCTGTAGCAACAATACACAACTGTTGCAAAGGTGTGTATCCTCCCATCCTCTTCAAGATGAAGAAGACATTGCAGTCATAATCATGAGTCCCAGAGCACAGACAGCGCTTTGGTCCTAATCACACCTACAGCGTGTCTCAGTCAGCTTCAGCAGGAGTCAGTGAGAGAGCTTAACTAGCTGCGATGATACAGGCTTCGGCCTGAGCCAGCTACAGATGTTTGTGCACCCACTCACACTGTAGCCACAACCTACAGTTATGTCTACTACATAATGCATAATACAATGTCAAAATACAGCTACGCCTTGCTCTACGGATCATGCTAAACGTATTGCGAGGTAATGCAAAAGAAATAACTCCCCCCATCATCTCTCAGGGGTCCATTGAGAGGATGTAAAAGTATCGGCTACTTTCCTGATATCTGCATCTGCTGAGTGATGAGGACTTGTAGTATGTTTACAGTGTCACCAGGTTTAAGGGGTTTATATATAGATAAGTCTCAAGTCTCTTATGGATTCAATAGACGTTCTAGCATCTGCTGAATGACATCCTCTCTGCTTATGAGTCAGCATTGATCAGTTGTTTGCTACATGATCTCTTTAAACAGGCTATTGCAATACAATATGAAAAAAACACATTGAAAAACGTTCCTAGTAAATAAGTGTATTCTGTATTTAAAGGTACTCCCAGTAACAGGAAAGTATTGTTAGGCATGCAATAATAAGTACAACCGTGTAGTGTGATTACACAGTGATGTCCTCCCAATGAACACTTCCTTTCAGCCTCTCAAACACAGAGATGCTCACAAAGTCTCAAGTCACTGTGTGTGCGACTTAAGTTCGACTTGAGTCCAAGACCCAAGTTCAACTTCCTCTCTGTCATCAGCGTACGCTTGAGAACAGTGTTGTTTACAATGTGGCAGCATGATGTAAATGGAGAGTTTTGTTTCTTCACACTTTGTCCTGACCCTTTGTGTGCACAATGCCTCTCCACCATTCCAAATGATCAATTCAGATCAAGAGCCAACCGTGTCAAACGCGAAATTCAAATCAAAGAGGGTTAAAACAGAACAGCATCCTCCGTCACTTCAATCATTGCCGTTTCACTCATATGAAAGCCAAATTGGATTTTTTTCAAAAATACTATTGTTTTACATAAAAGATATTAATTTATTATAAACATTTTTTTTAGGAAATCCTAAGCCCAAAGTTATATAAAACCAACAGAATGAGAGTGGGACTGTTCAGCTGGAGAGAGAAGAGTTAATACTGGAAAGAACTGTCATGCCTGTCTCTTCTGTTCACAGGTTTCTGTCTTATACTCTGAACTCAGCTATGATCCGTAAACAGGACGCCACCTCTGTCATCACATCTGTCGCCAGCAACAGAGTGGGACAGAGTCTGGCATGGGACTTTGTCAGGGAACAGTGGGAATATATGTTCACAGAGTGAGTACTACACTTATAAAGATGTATGTGTATATGTGAGAAGAGATAGAATGATAACATCTTAGTTAGCTTTAAACATGATATTAGATTCCATCTTAGTAATAATGTATCCATGAAAGTGATTGGTAAACTAAGCACTCGGTACTTGAGTATCTCACTCTGCAACTGGTTATTAGAAAGCACAACACAAACAGAGCCCAGGCAGTTCGGATTGGCCTGAGCACAGAGCCCTGGGGGGCTCTGTGCTCAGCCCCCCCCCCTGTCCTGTACACCCACGACTGCTACCCCAGACATGTAGAGAACTCTGTTGTGAAGTTTGCAGATGACACTACCATCATCGGCCGTATTAAAAACATTAATGAGACTTCATATAGAGAGGACAACAATCTTCAGAGTGGTGCTCAGAGAACAACCTGGGAAAACGCACACCCCTCTCTACATCAATGGAGCTGAGGGGCAGCAAGTCACCAGCTTTAAGTTCATCTCATACAACCTGACATGGTCCTCACACACCTCCATCCTGCTGAAGAAAACTCATAAACGGCTGTATTTCTTAAAGACTGAATTCCTGTGCCAAGTTCTAAATCACATTAGTAACAATAGTAGCCGTAGGATTATTATAAAGTAGCTGGATCAATTTAATAAAGTGTGTCCCCAATCCAAATCTTTCCAATACTCCCCACAGATACTCCCATTCAACCCCATCAAAAGCTCTTTCAGCATCCAAGCTAAGGACAGCACTTAAGTACGCGATACCTTCCGCAGCATGAAAAATATGCAGACGACGGCACATATTATCAGAAGCCAATCATGACTTAATAGAGCCAGTCTGGTTACAGTGAACCAATCCGGTCATATGTGGTTCAAGACGGGATGTCAGAATGCAGAGAAACACTTTAATCTTGGTGGTGAGAATGAACAGCGGTCTGTAGTTGCTACATAGGGTCGGATCTTTGCTGGGTTTAGGGAATACAGATAATAAAGCTAAGTTAATGTCTTATAAAAAACAACCTTTTTCAATAGAACAGTTAATCATATTCAATAGAATCTGACCTGACAAATCCCAAAAAGTGAAGTAAAGTTCAGGGGGATACCCCATCCCGGTGATTTTCCCCTTTTCATCTCTACAATGGCATCTTTAAGTTCAGTCAGAGGGATGTGGACCCCTGAATCATTGCACTCATCCAAAGAGAGAGTCTGAAGTGTCACTTTTTGTAAAAAGTTATCACAATTTGCTTTGTCAAAGTGAACTTCAGAAACATACAGTTTAGAGTAAAATTAATGAAATTCTGAATTTATCTCTTTAGGGTCCGACAACATTTTCAGGCCAGAGTCAACAGATATAATACGAGCAGACCTCTCATCCTTATGGAGGTTTAAAGCCAACAGGTGGTCTGGATCCACTGAAGTAATAGTTTCTTAGATCTGTGAATCAAAAATTCTGCTCTCACTCTTAAGAGGGAGTTTAATTTAAATTGAATGGATTTCATTTGTTTTTATTTATCATTTGAAAAGCCAGTATTTTGCTGTTCATGCTCCAACAATGTTAGAGTAGTCTCATAATCACCACTTTGGCCTTGTCTAGTTTTATTGATATAAACAGTAAAGGCTTCTCTGAAATAGGTGCAAAACTCATTGTTTCTCAGTAACGTTACATTAATAAAGCTCCATCTTGTAGCTCTTGTGGAAGTACATGCAGAGGTTAACGAACAGGGGAGAATATTAACGTAATCAATTTGAGAAGATGCATTTGAACTAGCCAACAGATAGAGTAAAGTGAAAACCATATTGTCTGGATGTAGGGTTGATATACATCTGTAAAACTAAAATCAGACATGAGACCCTGAAATGCAGACATGGTACGTTTACGTGAGTGTTGGTTTGAATCACCAGGTCGAGTGTTGAGTCCTGTAGCATTCATATCGACGCCAATTACAACTGAAAAACCTTCCAACGTGCAGCACAAAAGTACTGATGATCAAAAGAAAACACATAAATAAGGAATGGTCCAGGTAGGCCGGTCTTATTAAGGTCACAAAGGGTAAGGACACGGACAGTGATGTCATATTGATAAACATTCAGGACCTTATCCAGCGTTCCTTGGTTCGGTTACGGTTGATGAGTTCCTCAGCCTCCGTGTGGGTCTGGAACAGATGAGCCTCTGTCAGTTTGAGTTTTGCAAGATAAACCAAAAAGCTGCTGACGCCCTGCATGCTTCCTGGCTGTTTCCATAACCTGTGCATATTCCTCTCGTCGTTTGGCAGTAACATTGCTGTAATCAGCAGCAAAGCATATTTGCTTGCCAGCGACAGTGACAGGGCTGCTCCTGGAGTCCTTGAGAAGTCTGTCTCTGTGGGTGAAAGTACAGGGAGGTCCTGAGTGATGTTCTGTACCAATCCGCTCAGCTCTCATCACCTCGTATTTCACATTAGCAAGAGTTGGAAACCACTTTAGTAGAGATGAGATAAATGCAGTTGGATCACTTTCCTCCCTTTCCTCCGGCAGGTTTATTAGCCGTATATTGAAACAGCATGAGCGATACTGGTGTTGAGGTAGCTTCCATACTGTACGTTTCTCATATAGTGTCCTCTGTTAATAATGCTAAAGAGATCAAAAAGTCTTAAGCAGCCATCTTCTTTGCAGTGTCACATGACTCATCACATGTTAATTAGCATCCTGGTGAATGCTGCTTTCTGTTTATAATGTAGCTGCGTTCACAGCTGTTCAACAGATCGCGTGTTATTTGTCACGTTTGGTAATGTTGTTTCTGTTCCTGTTGTCGTGACAAAAGGAGTTCCCCAAGTGTCTATTTTGGGGCTTCTACTTTCTCTAATGAATAATGAATAGTGACCGGATGAAAGACTCAACAGTCCACGTGTATGCTGATGATACAGTCCTGTATCAGTCCTGCTCCTTCTAGTGAGACTCACAGTCTGATTTGAACCCGTTGCAGAAAACCTTTATTGGTTTTTGAATGCAAACAAACGGCTACACTATTTTCAACCAGTTATACAATGGCTCCTTCCCTCTCTATCAGCATCCTTAAAGGTGTTGGTATTGAGTATGTTAATACATATACATACATATATGGGCATTTGGTTGGAAATAAATCTTAATTTAAGTATCACATTGGAACTCTAACAAACTCAAGTTCACAGTTTCTTTCTTTATAGATTAATGTCATGTTTCTCTTCACCTCACATAAGCGCCTGCTTACAGGTTTATTCCTGTCTCAGCTCGACTGTGCTCATACCATTTACAGATGTATAAATGCATGACAAAATATTAGTCAAATAAAAAATAAATAATTGTTGGTGTAGCTACTCTTTCACCGTTATTGCTGCTACAACAAAGGTTGCTTGGAACTTACTTTGTTTTGCCCGTAGGACATCATGGACCTTCACAGAGGACACTTTCTCCAAAAGGGAGGTCCTGGTTGAGATGGGAGGATGTGACCAATATGTTTAGATGCACTATGAACTATTATCTGTAAGGCATTCATTACTCAGACTCCTAAACCGAACGGTGACAGAGAAAGTTCACTCAAAGGTAACATCTCTGCTCCGCCAGTTTTGGGATTTTATAAACATTATATTCTCTGTTAAGTTTATCAGAGATTAAATTTGAACTCTTTCAGTTGTTTTCTCCAAAAGTTTATCATCATCCCTTTAGATTAGCTAAAGAGTTTTGCTGCACCACTAGAGTGTCTTGTTCAAGCTGAAACAGCTGCTGTAGTTCAGCATCATATCACTTCTTGTTTGAGTTGAATACACTTGTTTTTTCCAGATATGGCGTGGGCTCTTTCTCCTTTGCCTCTTTGATCAGCGGAGTCACTGCTCGGTTCTCTACACCTGCTGAACTACAACAGGTACGCCCTCACTAAGGAAGTAACCTTATTAACATCAAACTGTTGTCAGAACTTTCTCTTGTTTCCTGTGTAAGCTGGAGGAGTTTGAGGAGAAGCACAGAGCAGCAGGGTTTGGATCCGCCACCCTGGCTGTGGAGCAGGCCTTGGAGAGGACCAGAGCTAACATCAACTGGCTGCAACAGAACAAACGGGAGATCTTGGACTGGTTCAAAAGTCAGACTGGACATTAGATTCACTAACAGGCAGAGTGAGAGAGCTGGGAGCAGCGACTCATCCCACATAGGAAGAGATTCTCTGTATGTTTGATTAAAAGCTGCCAGAGTTAGAGGGATCAGGTCAGAAAGACATAAAGAAGGAATATTATCGAGTACAGTTGAGCAGCTATATTTCTATAGTAACAGTCAGATGTCACTCAAATGAACCTGGTTTGCATGAGGCAGTAAAAAAGCTGTTATTACCAAACATACCAAGCGCTTTGTGCACAAGATAGCCAAGTCCAAGTCCTCCCAGAACGCCTCCGAGATGGAGTTCATCAAGGAGAAGTTCATAGAGTAACATACTGCAATGTAATGCATAGATTTAACTTTATAACCACTTGGAACCTGCTATGAATGTAATCATTGAAATGCCATCGTAACAATGGTTAACATGTGACTTAAGACCTTCAGTCAAATGTAGCTAGTTTGAACTCCTCGACATGTTCTGATCTGCACACACACATAAGCAGCTTATGGGCTATGTAGCTGTTGCAACAAGATGTTTTAATACACCTCCATTAAATCCTCAACCTCTCTGCAGATTCTATGTTTCTCACCAAGAGAGTTGTAACATTTTGAATGTTTCAGATTTGCATTCAATTATGTATTTCCTTTGATTGTTATGCAACAAATCACTGATTGCAATGTTTATTTGTACATGATTGTAAGCTGTGTTCTTCACCTCCAGATAAAGACTTGGCTGATGAGAAAGATTACTTACAGTCATCTGACTGCTGGTGTGTTTCCTCCTCAGGTGGACCTATTGTTAGCCAGGTCCCAGATCTCACAATAGTCACGGCCCCACAAATAAAACCCAGTTGTAACAAATCATAGTTTTACGTTAACACCAATGTTGTGGTTGTTGAGACACTTTGTCCAACCTCCACCAATCATGTGGAGGCTGAAGTCAGACATAACTCTAAAGGTTTCTTTTGTTTCTCTCAAAGCATGTGTCACCCATGTTCAGTCCACATGTCTGTTCATCCTGCTGGGATGTGGTGTTGTGTTCCATTCAGGCTTTTTGGTTCGATATATATTTTTTGATTATTGAAAAAAATATATTTTAGATATTTTATTGATTTTTATGTGCTTTGAAAAAATTCCGACAAATGTTGGTGAATTGATGAACTCATTTTATTGTTCTGATTTGTCAAAGCCACAAACACACAGAGTAACAAAGAGAAATGAAATCAGACAATAAAACATGGACGGAATTCTCCTCCAGCAAAGAAAAGGAAGACAATGATTTAAATGATGCAGAGAGGAATTGTTGGCTTTGTTATCTCTGCTGTACAGCAATGTGATGCACATACAACAAGTATGAATCAATACAATATATTTATGAGTCATTTTACTGTTGTTATTAGAAAGGTGCTGTACTTACATCCTCATTCTGTCAAAACCCAAAGAGCATCCAAGGTTGAAACTCTGGGGAGGTTGTTAGAGCACAAGAGGACAGAGTCTGTCTTCAGATGGAAGAGAATAAAGTCATATGGTCCCTTCTCATGGGTCCAGCTCTTAAGGTCAGCTGGGTCCTTCACACTTTCAGTCAAATGAGACATGTTTATGTAACAAAATAGTGCAATACAGCAAGCAGTGACGTTTTATGTCGATTAAAGGAAACCTTGCCATTCACTTCTATTAAAGGGACTTGTTGATATTTTGAATTTGAAATCGGTTTCTAAGAGCTGCAGGTCACTGAGCTTTAAGCATGTAAGAGGTGCCAGTGTGCTTCAGACTGAGGGCTGTCAGATGGTCCAGCAGCAGGGGAATCTCCCTCCCTCCACCTTCTCCATCTATCAATCGGGGTGAGGTGAGACACTTGAGAAGGTAGAATTTCCCTCCAAAGCTGTCTCTTTAATCTTTACACAACTTTTAGTTTGAACAGCTGCATGCAAACCATGGATGGACATCTACAGCACGGAAACTCATCTGGACTGAATAGTTTCCTTTTGGTTTCTATGAAACACACTAAACCCACATGTTGTTTCTCTGATGCAAGACATGTCAGTGAAACAGCAAATGAATGTGAGTGTCAGTAGTGATATATGTTCAGCTTCAAGTTCACACCAAAGCAGAGCACAGAGCAGCAGAGATCTGCCTCATGTGGCCGGTAACAGAACATACTCAGTGTAAACTGAGACGGTCTCTTTGGAAGACATTGAACTCATCAGACGCTTGTGAGTCCAACCAGAGGTCACCTCTATCTGTGTGAACGTGCTGCTGATTCTTTTGCTTTGTAATAAAAAAACACATTTTAAACTTACACATTATGTTGAAGAAACATTGAAACATTACACAAACATGCAGTCATCTACACAACCCTCTGTAATAAATACATATTCAACATCAAACTGGACAAGAACAGATGACCACATCCTTCATCCTGCATGGTCCTGTGGCCCGGCTGCTGCTGCTGATAAGAGGGTGAAGCCTCCGAGGTGGAGGTCAGTAAGACAAGAAAGCAGGGCCATAACTAATACAAGAGCTTTGCATAACTCATCAAAGCTCAGGTGAAAATGATGGTGAATAGATAATAATACATAATACATTGTTAACTTCAACGCATATTCTATTATTGAATATAATTCATCATTCATTTTTATGTTACATGGCAAATGTAATTCCCATCAGTTTGATGACTTCAACCTGCTCGTTTTATGAGACCAAACAGTCAAAAAGTATCAACTTACAATGATAAATAACTTAACAAGCAAAACATTGACTTCAATCATCAATTATCAAAACTATCCTGAAGTATTCCATTCAACACTACCTCTGAGTACCTCAGTCCTTTGACCATGCTGTCGTTCCTAAAGGCCAATCAAACACCTGACACGTCCCTCACCTGTCTGTACCAGAGACACTCACGGGACATCGATGTCTCTCCAGAACTAAAAGAGGCTGAAGGAGTGACAAACAGATCAACTCTTCTCTGTAGTGCTCGGTGAAAGACACACTTCTGTCAATTAGTTATTAAAGAATCTCCTTCTGACTTCATCACCTGGTTGTAATTTTCCTTCATTTCTCTTCTGTCAGTTCATTTGATGTCCTCCACCTTCATATTAAATGGAGCAACGTTTTCATTATGTATTTCTGCTGTTCATGCAAACAGGAAGTCCAAATAAACTGCGATGTTCAGTTTCTTCCACCAGATGGTGCAATAATGTCAAAACTTCACAAATAAGTAGTTGTTTCAGCATTCGTTGCTATTAAGATGAACAGGACGCAACTTAAGATTTGATCCTTTTAAAACAAGTGTATATATACATGTATGTATATCTCCTTATATATACACACTTGGTGTGTATTTTTAGTGATGCACTTATTTGGTAAAAATGACCAAGAAGAAGAAACTGAAGTTTAATTTATTTCACTAGTGAAAAATAAATCCACGGATGTAAGTTTTGTGATGGTGACTGATGATGTTTGTAATGTAATTTAATTGGTACAACATATGAGTGAGTGGGCAATAACAGTAGTTTTTAATATCACTTCAGATCCGACGGCCACACAGGCAGTGGACCAGCTGAGGTACAGGAGCACAGGAGCACTAGTGGCTGTGAGCTGTGAGTCTGACCTTTAGTCAACAGCTGATAGAGTTAGACCCTCAAACACAACACGTACTAACGCACTAACTGAGTCCCACTTTACAAGAGCAATGTGCAGGCACCCTAACAGCACAACGGCTGCTCCCAAATGTTGATTGTCTTAATTCTAACGGTACATAAACAACAACGCCTTATGGACTTGAAAAAGGTGAAAAAAAACATTGTAGGCTTGAAGCGGGGACGCTGTTGCTGCAAATATGTACAAAAAAGATGAAAAATGGAAAAGTGTGCACAATATTTGCAGTGTTATGTCCAAACAAAAAAAGAGAATTACAATTTTAGCTCCACTTTGAGTATGACTTCCCCAAACTGACCAAATCATTTGAAGAAATTTCTTAAAATCCCAAATGATGATTGTTTAACTGACCACAGCATCATCATCAAGCCAGAACTAGAAGCTCAAGACAAAGACAACTGACAATCACATCTGTAAATGACAACATTGCAATAACATTGTTATCAAGAACTGCAAGTAGAAGAAGAAGAAGGGAACTTTAACTCCAAAGGACTCCTTCAGAATTTTAACACACAGACGCTTATTTGCTAAAAACAAAAAGCCACAGAAAACATCTGGACAGGATCTGACATGAGTCCCATCATGCATGGAAGTACTGAACACCACATGCAGAGGACATGAAGGCCAGTTACATCTTCTGATTCAAGCCAGACAGAATCAAATTACTCTCCACTCATATCATCATCATCATCATCATCATCATCATGTGGTTAGTAAGGATTTGTTGCATTGTTAAAGGATCACACTTTGAACATAAATACCCCTCCCTCTCTGACGCCTGTACTAAATGAAACAATAATTTACATTATTAGGTGTAAGCTTTTTGCATTCTTACTTCTTTCAATGCAGAGAGAAGTCAGATCAATTGAAAGAGCCCCCCCCCCCTGATCTCACTGGAGGACTTTCCCTCTGGTGTCGGGTAGTTTGAGGGCCACCAGGCCACCGCATACGAGGGCAGCGAAGGACAACAGGATGGGGACAGCTTTGGTTTTGCCCACAAAGCTGGTGAAGATGGAGCTGCCGAGCACCGCCGCCAGCTTACACAGAGCGTTCAGCAGGCCGAACGCGGTGGCCCTGAGAGACCGAGACATGACATGACATGACATCACCACAACTGGGATTCTGAAGGTCTTCAAACGTGATATTTCTGTCAGGTTGGCCAAGTTTGATTAATCCATGTGAACAATCAACAGAATTATTCAGTATAATTGTTTTCCTGCATCTTCATTATGAAAATAAGGAATATCAGCACAGCTGCAACAATAAAGTGTGGTACCTTTTAGAAGCAGGGTACAGCTCCACGGTCACCACCTCCATGCCATTCCATGCAGCTACACTGATGCCACAGAACAGACACTGCAAGGTGATGATCGCCGATTGGCTGAAGCTCAGAAACAGGAAGAAGGTACAGCCTGCTGAAATGAGCATGGCGCCACCTGAGGAGAGCAGACAATGCCAGTATGAAATCATGTAGAGTGTCAATGGATGTACTTTCAACTTCTCTCTTCATTGTTCTGGACTAATGCAAAAGAAAAGCAAAAACATAAGCCTGCTGGCAGAACTGAAGCAGCACCAAACACCGTGACAGACCAGACAAAGAAAGCGAACAGCTCTAAGAGATGAAGTCTCTATGAAGGCTAACAGCTGATCACTGAAACACAGCAGTGTGCTGTTAGCACTGAGATGAACTAGAAACTCATCTCCAGCAGGGAGACATCAGAGGGATGATTATTAATGATAATTACCAGTTGTTAAGTCATCCCTCTCATACTTTTGGCTTATTTGGACTTTTGATATGAACATGCAATCTATTGTTTATGGTGAAATGTTCATCCATTAATACTCAGTGAGGGTGAGGTAGCTACCAACGTAGTCATGCTAGTTGTACTTGAGCAGACTGTGAACATGTATCATTCTGTAATCACACAGAAACATCTCAGTCACTTATAGAACAGCTCATTAAGCTTTAAAGCAGCATCAAGCGGTGAGGATGCAGATCACAACTGTAACTGGCCCTTTGAACAAAAAGCATCCTCCTGGCATGTCTCCTTATTTGACATTGACAACAACAGTCAGAAGAGTAAACCTGCTGAGAACCAGGTTCTCATATTAATTGATGCTTCCTGGCTTCATCTGGTCCTTGGAAATGAATCCTTTGACACGTGAAGGCAGTGTCATGGAGGTTGAATTGTATATGTTAACAACATGGCTACCACAGCACACTCAGCCTCATTACTGATTCAATCCCCTGCATTTCAACTGACAGCCATGTTCTACTGTTGGTCCAACATGCTCTGGACTAACAGATGAATGAATCGTCTGTTTTTAGTCTTAGAGCCAGACTTGTCAGGCTGTTCATCATCTCTTTTGAGAATGCGCTGTTCATTAATAGTGAACGTTTTCAGAATGTACGTATCAACAATCAACAATCATCAGTAAATGATAATCACCTATAATCTTGGCTCTGCCAATCTTGTCCATGAAGAGGGCTGAGATGATGTTGCCTGGCAACACAGCCAGACTGCCCAGGAAGCTGACCAGGTAAATGAGAACGTCGTTCTCCTCCACAATGTCCAGGTGGCAGCCCTGTTTGTTGTGCTCAAAGGTGGTGTTCTCCATCTTACAGTCAATGAACTTCTCCTCCCACAGGTCTACAGAGAACAGGGAGACCAGGAAACATGAGAGGAAACGTATAGAACGGCTCAGCTGTTTGAACCTGGTTCAGGCAACCGCCTGGCAAGGTTTCATTCAATAGGAATTTTATTATTTATCTTACATTTTATTAATTAAAGGTCTAATATGAAGACATTTTCTGAAAAAGAATCCCTCTCTCATCACGTGTGAGCCAGATGAAGTGTGTGTGATGTCTGTATCTGCAGAGACTCTGCTCTCTGCCTGGATCTTCTCTTTTCTGCTTCGTGACTTTTCTTCGTCCCCGGATTCTCTGTGCTCTCTCTCCTCACAGGTTTCCATGAACCGTGGTTCTACCTGGACCTGGATCATGGTTCTACCTGGACCTGGATCATGGTATACCTGGACCTGGATCATGGTATACCTGGACCTGGATCATGGTTATATCTGGACCTGGATCATGGTATACCTGGACCTGGATCATGGTTATACCTGGACCTGGATCATTGTTATACCTGGACCTGGATCATTGTTATACCTGGACCTGGATCATTGTTATACCTGGACCACTGTCAGGCCTGACACTCACTATTACTACAGTAACTTACAGTCACATTTTTTTTACTATTACTGCCACTCATTTTTCTATTATTTTTCTGCTATTACTTCTGTCATTATATGTATCATTTCTATCACATGGATCGACTATGTTGTAATTCTATTATGTTGTCCATCCTAAGGGAGGGATCCTCCTCTGCTGCTCTCCCGTTCAGTGTGTGCATCCCGTTAAGGTCGTCAAAAACGTCGCTCTGTCATGTCCTCGACTGGAACGGCCTAATGACACGCACAGCAACACATTTCTAAAAGAAACATGGACTGTAGGAGGAATCCTTTGACCATAAAGGAGCACAGGAGCCTTGTATCCTGTAATACAAGATCTTCATAATCCAATGTAGATGTTTGTTGTGGTGAAAGATGAAACAAGCTTGGTTAGATTACTGTATATTATAGTTTTTGTTTTTATAGTTTTACAGTATCTGCATTCCTAATTCCTACAGTACGATGCTACTCAGCATCTAATACATTTGCGTTACAAGTACCTTACTGTTCTAACTCCTACCGACTCTCTGCCAGACAATGATGGCTCATACGGGGCACACTTGTTTCCCACATAGACAACCCTTACAGACAAACAAGGTCTAGATTGAGCCACCTCACAACGTTTTGGTTCAAGTGTGGTCCATGTTACCCCACACTGGACAGCTATGGGCTGCCATTTGGTCCTGAGAGTAAAGCTTTTGGTTCAACCCATCTAATATTTAACCTGTAACCAGAATTCACTCTTATTCTCTGGATTCCTCCCAGCCCTGCTCCAGCTGGACCTACCTGTGTTATAGAAGACAGTGGAACGGATGGTGCAGTTCTCAAACACAGTGTCTGTGGACTTGATGTCTTCAAAGTGACAGTCTTCAAACAGTGAGCTCTCAAACTTCACTGACTTCATCTCTATACTGATGAACCTATGGGAATGGGATGGGACACAAACACCAACAGACAAAAAGCATGGACTCTCACTTCTATTGCTGTGGCAGCACAGAATCAGGATGGTAAGAATGGGTTCAACTGTGGTAAATCCAAGATGGCTACCACTGTTAATACTGCCATGGAGATAAACACTGCTGTGGACAGTGTGTTAGAAGCAAAGTAGTGGAATGATGATCTCCATGGCAATATGATATATTCAATGGCAGCCTGTATATTTATACTATTCATGCTTGATTGACAGTTAAAGCCCATTCTGTTTCAATTCTGCAAAAAGCATAGAAGTTAAATAATATACAGTAGTGCAACATACTGTATATGTGTACTGGGAGAGGTACACTCTCTCATTTTGTTAAAGAACCCAACAGCAACCCCAGGTTCAAAAGTTTCCTCCCAGCTCATCATTCTGAGATTCAGCTGTCGAGGTGGTGCAATCTGTGTGCAAAAGCTTTGCTCAGAGTGAACACAGCTCTATAGAGCTATAGAGGTGAAAATGTATGCAAAGTCAATTGAAAGAACAGAATAGAAACAACAAGCCTTAGATACCATTAACGTAGGCTATATTTCAAATCTAAAATACATGAGGCACACCCCTTATACACAGCACAATGTCTGTGCTGTCAGTAGAGGAACTCCATCGACTGATTATAGACAAATATACGAAAGACTAAAACATATAATCTTCCCATTCAGTCTGAATGAACCCTGAGGTCATCTAAACATACGTCACCAAAGTATATCAGTTAAAGAACAAAATATAACGTCTATCAAGACAGGATGTGTGTTACTGCATGTATATCAGTCAGGCACTGAATCGACAGAAAGATGGGTTCAAACCATGGACTGTCTATAAGAAGTGGGCGTAATCGTCGTGACGTCACCTATTGGTTTGCGGACTGCCGGTTTGAAGCCTCTAGCTCAGTATTTTGAACATTGCTATATTTGGATATAACCAGAAGTGACACGAGAGGGTGGAGCTAAGTGCAATCCAACACTGAATAAGACATTTTTAGGGACCAAAATGTTGCAATTAACTTTCATGAAGTGAAAGACACTATGGAAGGGTTAAAGATGTAAAACAAAAACACTGACTACTCTCAGACCGGACAACTTTGTGGTAGAGTCAATCACTGTGTAGCCCCGCCCTAAAGCATCCCCTGCTTTATGGTCTGTTTGACTCTAAATGGAGCATAATGTACTAAATGAACATCATGCTGTATTGAAGAAGACTCGAAACTAGAGATTGAGACCATAAACTCATGTTTACAATGTTTACTGAGGTAATAAATCAAGAGAGAAGTAGAGTCATTTTCTCATAGACTTCTATACAACCAGAGGAGTCGCCCCCTGGTGGACACTAGAGACAATGCAGCTTTAACACATGAAGCTTTGGCTTCACTTTATAGAACTGGAGAATTTAAAAAACAAGATCAAGAAGGTCTGCATGCATTAAATCCTTTCTTCCTTTTCATCCATCTTGTATTACAGGTTATGTCATGCACCGGTGTGATCTCATTGGTTGCGCACGGAAATATCAGAAACAAACAAGGTCAAAGCTGAAACCTATTGAAGATTTACAACCTGATCTCACAGAAATACGTGACATGACCACGACCTCTTAGCAGGGCACTACATGGTGGTGGCACAAAATGTGTTGAAAAACAGAAACAATGCCAATAGTAAGTCAATTAGGATCCTTTGTCCCGGAGGACACGCGATTTAGACGCATCCACATGATTATGCAACACATGTTTCACATTATTTTAGCCTTTATCTTCAAGGTGCAACACCAGTTGTGTGAAATACATATAAAAACATAATTCAAAGCGGTAATAAGGTTTCCTTCCATGACTTCTAATCACCACAGTAAACATTAAAGTAACCAGAGCAAAGTAACACAAGACAATACATCCAGTCTGTGACTGTGAGAAAGGACTCCGACATGTCACACTGTAACACACAGCTCAAGAAGCTAACACACAAGATGATGAATGATATTAATATTGGATTAAAGAATACACACTATTTTTTTTCCTATTTGCTCCCAAGTCTGTTTCACACCGCTGGGTTTCAGCTGAAAGGAAAAGGCTAAAATAATGTCGTACAAAAACATGAGAATACATCTGCAGCATTTTAATGGACCAATATACACACATGTAGTTATGGTCAGATCTGTCGTGCTCTAGATGAGACATATTATAAATCTGTTCATTTACACATTCACCCAGTCTGAGATTTATTGCCAGCTAGCCTTTTCTTGCATATGACAGTTTAAACTCTTACTTTTAGTCTGGATTATAACGTGTTAATACTATTTGTGTTATATTAATTTACGATCCTCATACCGAGCTTTGATTGGTCGGTAGGCTGCTTTTATTCCAGTCGATCTCTTGTCTTCAACATGACCTGCTCTAGATTAAGTTAGGTGTTCAGCATTAGCTATCATGGCGATGTACCGTCACTGGACTGAAAACTCAGAGTTAACCCTGAAGTTAGTTTGGTACTGGAGTTATTGTGACCTTTTTCATGTATTTTAGTTCATTCAAGAACATATTTTAAGCAGCATCCTGTCCTGTCACTGCTGCATACACTTTCACGCACTACTGAGTTCTCAAACATTCAGCTACAGGAAGCTATGGGATTTGTGGGTGCTGTAACAACATTGGTTGGTGTATCTTTCCTAACTTCACTTGTACGGATAGTCAACCTCTGGCATACCCATGTACACAAAACACAACTCTCTTGTTTATAGTATCTGAAAAGAGTGATACAATAAAAGCGTGACGCCTTCATAAACCGGTCAAGGTTTACTGTCTTCACGATGTAATTCAATGTTTTTGTTCTGTCTATTAGCATATTGCTAATGTTTTATGAGCTCCAGGGCATCACATACAACAACACATACAACAACAGTCAGCATGCAAAGCACAGTTTCTGATAACAACATAACTGAGAATGATATGATTGATTGAGATAATAATAACTCTAATGTTGACTAGGGGGAGGTTTCCAAGCAGTAAATGGAAAGTATCTGTCTCAGAGGATACGGCTATGACTGTCCAAACACGTCTTCACACTGCTCATCAGTCAAAACAGTATATAAACCTCAAACCTGGAGTCAATCTCTGTGTTTGCTTTGTGTCCAGGAGGTAATACAGCAAGACTTACTTGTCGTGGATGTATTCTCCTTCTTCGTGGATCTGGTTCTCTAAAGAAAATTTAAAATGGAAGTTCTCCACTCGCTCTCTATGGAACACCTAAACAGAGACAAAGCAGCTATTTAAAACCAAACAATGTTAATTCAAACCATGAATTCATTCAAAATGTCTCGCTGTCACAAAAGCAGGACAAAATGATCCGTGCTGCTTCGTTACCTTGACTCTGGACTCGTACTCCTCATGCTGAAGGTGTTTGATCATGTCAGGGAACCAAACGGACAGACCATAGTAACTGTGACAGAGAGGAGGCTGGATCAGTGAAAGGTGCATAAAACAAGTTCAACCAGGTCAGAAAGACTGCAGACGATCTATCACATCAGAAAGGACTGCTCCTCTGCTTTATCATTTCAATATGGCCTTGCTCTATGTCCTTGTGGGCCTTAAGACTGCATTTACACTGTTCTGTTGGGTTGATTTTTCTGTTATCGCCATTTACTGCTACACACACCCATACATCGACTCAGGACTGACAACTGATACCTACCCTTTGTATTGTTTTATCTATGTTTGTGTGAAAATAGAAATGCTTTTCTTAGCAGTCAGCTGGTTTGTCTCCTGGTTTGTTTCAGTCTCTGAGCCGAGCTGTGACAACTGTAAGACTGTCAGTGCAACATGCCTGGCTAGATCTTGATCCATGTCACTCTGCTGTTGCTTATCAACCTGAATGATGATGTAACACATGACATCATGAACTAACCTGAAAGCCATGCAGAACCAGATGATGGCCATCAAGAGTGTAGCAGACCTCAGTTCGGCAGACAGGAGTGATGCCACGTTCTTCATCACCTGCGACACATTAGCACTAATGAAGAAGTGCTACTGGCTGTATGCTGAATATACACACAAGCATTAAAGTGCTACATAGACTTCCGTCAGTCACAGAATTTGATTTCTCAATGTGATAATAATAATCATGACAATTGCCAAACCTGTTCAATCAATGAGTTAGCTGTCAGGCTGTATAACTTAATGTTTACTTCTCTTGGTTGGTTTGTAAAAAGTCAGTGTGAACAGAAACTGGACCAGAACTAAAGTGATTCTGGAGAGAAAAGGTACAAAAACAGATCCACATCCACCCTCCTCTGAGCCTCAGTCTCCATCACTGAGCTCCAGTCTCTTCTTGTATTGGGTGTGTTACTACGTACCAGTTTACTGAGTGTTAGTGAGCGTACAGCCCATCGCTGTACAGCTGTTCCTGTAGCACTCTGGATCTCAATAAACTCATCCTCTGCTGTCTTAGGCGTCTTGATGTGAGTCACCTGAAAAGAGAGGGACTTTGTCTCAACAGCTTCTCCTGAATGTAACACTAATACATTATTTCAACATCAGTATGAGAATTGGTTCACAATTGAATTCCGAACCCTTCTGTTTCACTCACATCTCAGTGAAAGAGAGAATTCTATGACTATGATACATGGACCCACAGATGAGACTTGCCTTTAACAGATCAATTGAATGGGCCACTTTCTGTATATTGTCTTGTGGGCCTTTGTGCTGTGCTGAAGGGGGACCGAGTGGTAGAGTTGGCATCTTGCATGAGTATCTTATTGTGTGGTTAGAGTCACCTTAGCCTGCTGTGAGTACGTACATTTCATTTGATTTTGCTTCGTGTGCAGTGGTTTATTCATAATTTGGCATGCATTGTCAATACAATCTATATTTTCAGTATAGCAGTCTGTAGTTCCAGTTTATTCTGGGTCTTGTGCTTTGAGTGTCACCGGGTCACAAAATACATCCATTCATATCTGAATAATATATTTGAACTGTTACATGCATATTGGATAGTGACATGTACTCACAGTAAAGACTTTCTCTGGCTGTCCTTTGGCCCTCCAGTTGGTGTCATGGACCTGTTTCAGGATCATCCATGCCTCATCATGCTTGGCATTCTGCTCAACACACACAAACACACGCATACAAGCATGCACACAGCAATGTAAAAATAATCTAGTAACTAAATTGCAATGTCGTCACCATAAACACTTTGGATTCTCCTCGGAGAGTCCTGTAGGTATTGTTCAGGTCTCCACTCTCAAACCAACATCAGTTAGAAGCAGTGAGCAGTGGACCTGGGTTTAGTGCACCTCAAGTGTATGCAAGGCCCCAAAGATTAAAGCACTCCCATCAAGTGTAATGTTGAATTGGCTCCTTTGTTGATTTGTTCACCATCAGAGGGGTCATGTATTCCGGGTTTAAATCACAAGCACTTTAATTTGCATTTACATGATTTAGTTTCGATGGTTGAGGTTTAATGAAGCCCTCAGAGACATTTGAACAGTGAAGTGCTAGTCCTTTGCATTAGTGTTGGAGTAGAAGTGCACTATAAACATGTGTGCAGTCTCACCTCCAGGAGGAAGCGGGGACTCTCAGGCATGAAGGTGAGTCCAACCAGAGAGCCGATAGCAGGAAGAGCCGCAACCAGGACAAACACCCGCCAGCTGTGGAACTGGAACTCTGTGCCCATGCTGAACCCCCAACCTGAACAGCAAACACACACACACTGGGATTGTTTACCGTAACTAATAAGATGCTTTTATTCATTTGAACTATCAATTTCTTTGTAGCATTTATTTATACTTTTTCAAGTAGGAGGTGGGACATTATTTTGTTCCAAAATGTTGCATAATTCTATACAGTTTACTGTATAATACACACTACTACAACAGCATACTATGATCATTAGTTAGTTTACGGAAAACATACTTAACTACTTTATGACAACAGAAAATGAATGAATGTGTGGCGTCAGGTGTCCATCAAACTGAGATTTTTCACTGCAACTTAAACTTAGCTTTTTTCCACCTACTTTATGTAAACAAAGTGATAGTTAAGACCCCAGGAGGCGTAGCTTCCCACAAGCAGATGACATAGCCTCCCCCACATCAAGTGTCAGATGCGAGTAAGCTGACAAAGTGGAATCAATAAGAGCTTTGTAATCCTGATCCTCGAGACTCATTGTTTTTCGTAAGGCCAAGGTGCCCATACGAGTTAACTGAGCAGCACTAATCGAGCAGGAAATCACCTGGGGCAGTGAGGATTAGTAGAAAAACAGGCTGACTAGTGCTGTCCATTCAGCTATTGCCAATATACTGGTGACATGTCCCCAAATAAGCATGAGGGGCATTGTTGATGCCGATCCCAGGGTCCAGCCCAGACTGAAAAAGCAGTAGCACTGAGAAGTCATGATGCCCCCAACAAAGCAGGTTAAGGCCACAACTTAACATCACTGCCTGCGTACAGGGCTGCAGTAAAGGGAACTCAAGCCCACACAAAGTAAATAGCGTGCACTGGTACCTGATCATACCCAGTAGGCACAACACTTAACCTCACCAACTGTGAAAATAGGGGCTGTTTCACCGGTGGATAACCTGAAATAAACAGAAATTACCACAGACACTCTGGAGCCAGCTAGCATGCTAGTAAAAGTAGCCTCTGGCTAATAACAAACAATGCAATGGTCAGCTTAGCACTACCATATAGCAATGTAGTCTATACGACAAAAACCTGCACCACGTGAGTGATGAATTGAATCTTTGCTTAGGAAGGTTCCTAACTGAGTGAAATGACTCAGAAGTATCTAAGAGGCCGCCATGATGAGAGCTGTTCCAATTGTCTAAATGCTAAGGAAAGGTGCTTCAATGCTTCCTTTATTAGCTCCTTTAGCATAGGAAACACTGGACCATCCTGTACCAAAGGAAAGGAGATAATTCCGTCCCACAATTCCTTACGGCGGCAACATTTAAAGTGACGCCTCATTCAGCCATCCATGAAAACAAACGATATGCTTATCTAACACAGGTTTAACAATATACTCATACAGTCATAAAGTAATAGGATTCATGTTGATGAATAGGCTGTGACAATCCTTACGTTTCATCTCCTATGTATTTATTCACTTTGAACATGTAACAAATAAGTACAAAAAAAAAGAATACGGAATTGTTTCTATTGAAGCAGTGTTGATTGTTAGTGTGACATCAGCAGGATATCCGGTTCTCTCCTTCACACCCTGAGGGAAGCAGAGTTGCGCTTTTTGTCGTCCTTCATTGTAGTTTCGCCATAGCAGACCTATGACAGTGACATCCCCCACGCATTATAATTACCGAGCCACAGTTGTCTTTTCCTAACTCCTCATGAACTCTCCTTCACATCTCTCCTTGACCTCATGACGTTTTCCATAGAGGTCAAGGAAAAGTGGTTAGGAATCGACGGTAGGAGGTAGTTTTTTGTCTTTTCGACCGCAGCCCTGGTCTCTGAGCAAAAGGGCAAAGCCAGAAGTTGACCCCGCTTTTATAGAAGCTCTATCTCATGGGGTTGTGGGATTTCCTCGGTTTGCATTAGGGCTTAAAAGTATGTGGAGCGAAGGCTGTCATTCTGTCAATATCAAAGTGACGGTCAGAGTGAGTGAGTGAGGTCAGAGTGAGGTCAAAACAACTCTACCTTCGCAAAAGGGCACCATATTTCTCTCTCAAGCCAATCAGAGCAGATGTGTTTTCATAAGAATGCCCCCAAAACCCTGTTTTAAATGGGAACCGGTTCTAAATTAGTAAAAAAACAAAGTATTGATGCAGTCCGGAATTAACGGTTCTGCTATTGACACTTTAGAAGTTCCGGAATGAGATGTGCTCTTCTCAAACCTCCTCTCTCTGTCTCTTTGTCTTCATGTTTTACTCTGACGCACACACACCGACTTCAGCTCAGTACAGCGTGAGACTCACATCATGGCAGAGACAAGAAAACTATCCAAAGTGTGGCTACATTTTACTCCAGGAGAGGCTGAGAACTCTCGTTGTCATAAATGCAATAAAACCCTCACAAGTGAGGGAGATACCAGCAGTCTATTGAAACAAACAAACAAGCAAAACATCAATGTGCAGAAATGCTCAGTTTTCTACTGTTTGTCGAGCAGCCGTCTGTCCTCGTCCACTGCAGGTAACGTTAGTGAGGCCATACAGAGTTTGATCATAAGAACAGGCTAATCAATGAAAGCTAATCGCTAAGCTAACTGTTTAGCTGCTGATATGATTTACCTCTCAATATACGGCACACCGAAGAGTCTCAGATCTTCCACAGTTAGTCTCTTTGCATGTCTACAGTATATACAAGAACTTTCAATACGTTTTGCAAGGGATCAGGTTCCTTGTATTAAGAGAGTTTGTCCATTGGACAGTGAGAAAACAGCGTCTTACATGAGTGACACGTATTCCTCAGTGGCAGTAGACACAACACACGCTGTGCTATTTAGAGCTTAAGACTTTTAGGCTTGGTAAACAGTGACATTGATTGTGATTATATGTGAATAATTATATATTTTTAACATATTTATCTATATTTATCTATATTATATTTCTTAGTTTAAAAATTCTCATCTTTATCAAAAGTCAATGTATCAATTATAGAAATCTCCTTCATTCCTGTCGGTAGATAAAGTGACTCCACACAGGGTTCTACCCCAGCATTATTATTGGACGTTGCAATGACCCACTTTCCCCACAATCAGCATTACAGGAATGCTGTACAGTGCTCTATCTTAACTGACCTCTTTTGGGCTCTTACCGTATCTGGGTATGATTCCCCAGGCAGTGAACGAAGCATAGATTCCACCGATCATCCAGAACATACACAACCAGGACAGGTGCTCTCCTCTCTTGTCCATCTGAAGAAACTCAGAGAAGTACGAGTACACGATCGGCACTGTGCCACCAATACTGAGAGTAGAGAGGGATGATGAGAAGATAATGAAGGACAAAGAGAGTTATAATCCAAATATTAATTTATAGGAATATGATAATAATAACAATAATAATAATGATATGGAGGAAGTTTAAGATGCCGTGGCATCCCTTTCATAAAACAAACCAACACACTTCCGATGTGAGGGTCCTGGCTCAGAGGATGTCGTATGCTGTACAGATTGTAAAACCCTCTGAGGCAAATTTGTGATTTTGGGCATTACAAATAAATTGAATTGAATTGAATTAGTTGTCCCAATCTGTCTCTGCCTGTCAGCTTGTCAACCAGGACCAGGACCTGCCTGTAAGCTCATTTATGTAATAAGTGAATGAACCAAGGCTTTGCTTCTCTTGGAGGTACAAGGGACTTTTTGTGTGTGAATTTTGGTTGTACTACATGCCAAGAACACACATTAATAAGCATGCGTTATATGCAACAGAGCGGGTATGCATGACAAATGATATCTACTGATGAGTAAAGCAGTGTTGCGGTGCAAACTGTGAGTGGTTGTGCATCACATTCACTGTGCTGTGCTCAGTATGTGACCTCATTTCTGAGCCAGTGTGGCTCCCTGTGGACGACAGTAACTCTGCTGTCACTGCAATGAAACACTAACCAGACTCTGTATGGACTTTATGAAGCTTGATTTAATGTATGTTCTCTATATTAAAAAACTGTATTGATGGCTGAAAACATCCTATGGTACTTCTACTGTGGCTAAGTAGCAGGGCCGTCCTTCAATCAGAGGATCGGCGGTTCGATCCCCGGCTCCGCTAGTCGCATGTCGATGGGTCATGAAATGTGATAGAATCTGAATTGTAAGTGGCTTTGGATAAAAGCGTCTGCTAAATGACTGTAATGTAATGTAAAGGCTTTCAAAGAGCAGTTGAATACAAAGAATGCTGCAAATGAATGTTACACGTTGGTGCTCCTAATGACAGTGAAAGGGAACTCCAGTAGCCTACCCAGACATCCATCGCACACAACAACATTCTGCAGGTTTATACCAAACCATTTTGTTTTGGAATGTTTGAACCTGTGTGTTTCTAAAACCCTGTCTACAGTATGTTGGTGGCTCAGCGCGGTCTTGGATTCCTCATCTTAAGTGTTGTCGTAGTTTTTCAATCACTGTGGTTTGATGTGTGTTCATTTCTCCAAACAGTATTTTGTGTATGTTTGGGAATGTTGTATGAATGGTAGCCCCTGTCATCAGTGTATGAATGTGTGAATGATGGCATGTAGTGTTAAAGCGCTTTGAGAAGACTAGAACTATAAAAGTACAGTCCATTTACCATTTAACAGCATAATATGGCAACAAATTGGAGAAACAGGAGCAGATCAGAAAAGAGGGAAGCTTCACACTTAAACATGACCAGTTATACTTATCAAACTGAGTGAATGAGAGATATCAGTCTGAAGTTCTGGTCAATAAACAGCAGAACAGAAACACTGTCACACCTATTCATTATGAAAGAGCAATGACCAACACTCGACTGACCAACGGTGTAACTTCTTCACTCGGTCAGTCACTCAGGGACAAACGTTCACTGTTATAGGGCCTAACTTTATCACCGAACTAAAAGGAAGAGTGTGTGTTTTTGTGAACGTTACCCAACACCAGACAGCAGCCTGAAGAAGAGGAAGAAACCGTAGCCCTGGGCGAACGAAGACAGGAAGCCAAAGACACAGTTTATTGCTAATGCCACAATCAGACAGCGCCGACGCCCAACTTTGTCTGCCAGACCGCCCCACAAGAACGCTCCCACCATCATGCTCAGAAAGACGGTCAGACCTGCACAGATGGAGAGAAATAGACACATCAGTCACCTCAAGTAACAAAGTAATACGATGTTCATGACATTCTGAAGACAACATTTTTTTAGAGTTCAGTAGAAACGTATGTAAAGATGTGACTAAACTAGGTCAAGAGTTAGTGTTCAGCTGCTTACTAATTGCTATTGACTTGATGGTAATGAAGGGAGCATGTTCCTCTTCTGGTTGGATTCAAAGCTACCAACCTAGTGTGGATTCTTTCAATATCATCCTGAATCTCATATGAGTCCACAGCATAACAACTTATTCTGCTGTTGGCCACTGTACTGCCAAATACGAGCTGTTATTAACATTAATCTTGCACAGCCGATCCGACATCTCGTGAGCTTAGTTATCACAAAAACAAAACTGGAACTATTAGAACTAGTTCACAGTTCAAAGTGTCTTTGTTGTCCTTTACAGTGAATTTGTGTGTAGCCAGGTCTCAAACAAAACACAGAAAACCCTGAACACTGATGGACAGCAGCAACAAACAACAGGACATAGTATACAGAGTGGTTCAGTATGAGTTTCGGAAGGTTAAGGAATCAGAAGCAGAATCAGCTTTATTGGCCATGTATGCGTACGCATACAAGGAATTTGACACCATTTTTTGTACAATAAACAAATAAACAAAAAAATACAAGGACAACAAAGTAGAACAGAGGTAAGCATAAACATTTAACTAGTATCTAAAATGTAAAAATATACCCAAAAGTATATTTATGAACATAAAGAACAACAACAATGACACTAGATTTGAGGTAGTAGTGCAGAATGGTGGTAATAGTGCAAATGGAGGTAATAGTGCAGTATGTCTGATTACGTGTCCATCAGAGTGACGGCCAGTGGAAAGAAGCTGTTCCTGTGTCTGGTGGTTTTGGCGTACAGAGCTCTGTAGCGCCTACCAGAGGGGAGGAGTTGGAACAGGTCGTGTCCAGGGTGTGATGGGTCTGCAGTGATCTTTCAGCCCGTTACCTGACTCTGGAGGTGTACAAGTCCAGGATGGAGGGCAGGCTTGAACCAATGATTCGCTCTGCAGACCTGACAGTCCGTTGTAGTCTGTTCCTGTCCTGTTTAGTGGCCGATCCAAACCACACAGTGATAGAGGAGTAAAGAACAGACTGGATGATGGTGGAGTAAAACAGGATCAGCAGCTCCTGAGGCAGGTTGAACTTCCTAAGCTGGCGCAGGAGGTACAACCTCTGCTGGGCCTTTTTCCTGATGGTGTTGATGTTGGGAGCCCACTTCAGGTCCTGGGAGATTGTGGATCCCAGAAACCTGAAGATCTCCACAGCAGACACAGTGCTGTTGAGTATGGTAAGGGGGGACAGTGTTGGGGGGCTCCTCCTGAAGTCCACTGTCATCTCCACAGTTTTGAGCTTGTTCAGCTCCAGGTTGTTCTGACCACACCAGAGGACCAGCTGTTCAACCTCCCGTCTGTACGCAGACTCATCTCCGAAGGGGACTTCCAGTGGCTCCAGTGATCGGTTGAAGATCGATCACCTTCCTGATCTTCTGTCAGTGGAAGAGCCGACTCACATCCTCTTCGCAGATCCTCAGTGCCGGTGGGGGGTCGATTGGGAGCGGTGAGGAGGAGGCAGGGGGTGTAGGTGCTTGTTTGATGATTTGGTCCAGGGAGCCATCTTTAGGCTTTGGTAGTTTGTCCACCTGACAGTGTTTACATAAAGCTTTGTGTTGTCCCATTTAGAAGCTCTATCTGAAAAAGGCACTACAGACCAAATTGTAAAGCCCCCCCCCCAACCCTAACTGGTGCCCTGCAACATTACACCCCAGTTTGCAGATGCCATGCAACAGGGGAGAGATGAAACAGCACTAAAATGCTGTACAGCTCTTTCCAAGGTCAGAACAGAGGATATCGACCACTCTGCCGACGTCTGCTCTGCTGACTCAAACAGAACACTGTTCTGGACCAAACCCAGGTTAGGTGTGAGACAGGAGTTGATGTTGTCTCTCTGCTACAGCCATCAACCTGTCTGCTGCTGAGTGGTTGTAGAGAGGAAGAGATAAACACACAGAAGGACTGCCCAGTTCCAGATGGGCATTCTGTTTAGTGTGATGTATGATATCTCGTAGTTTCTTCTGGTCACTAAAGGTTAATACAGGTCCCCTCTCTAAATTACCTTTTACAAGATTTCAGTATTGGAACATACACACATGGAGTATATAACGTAAAATGTTAATAATTGGGAAAATCAATGATACACACAAACCAACACATTCTCACTCCCAACTGGTGAAATTTGCATAGTGTCTTTTCAAAATAAATGGAAGTTAGGTTTGAGAAAAGAGCTGGTTGATGTTAACTTGACTGACTAGCGACTCTTGTGACAAAATGTTGCCGCACCTCTCCTTCCTCTTTGCGGGTTAACATTTAAGTTAGTTGAAAGTGCGGAGCATCAGTTCCAGACTGCGAGGGGCACTGACCAACCGTCAGTATTTGACGGGTTGGCAGAGAACGAAGACTAACTTTTCATTCTGTGCTTGCGTGTAGCTGACTGAGGCTTCATAATTAATGAATTATTAGTCTGAATGTGTGGAGGTTCTTATCTCCTTCTACAACAGTCAGTCTCCTTTTTCTCTCCTCTTTTTTCTTTTCTTTATATCTTCTCTCCACTCTACTCATCTGATACTTGTTTTCCCTTCCCCTTGTTCCCTTGCCTCCCCTCTCTCTGCTCTCCTAACAACTCCACATCTTATCTTTTTCCTTCTCCTGTTCAACTAAAAGACGATATATACTGCACACCTTGCAGAGGTATAGCACACACACCATTCAACGTTACCATATAAACACACATGTTCACACTCCCTCACACACTGCACAAAACGGAGCCTCCTAAATGTACAGAACGCAGTATATTCAGACAAAACACCAATGCACCTCGCTGACTCATTCTGAGTCTGCCTCCTCAGAGCCCATTAGCTGATTAGACTGCAGGGCCATGAGGATTTACTGAGAAGCTTCAGGAAATCATTCACTCCCCAAGACAGTGTGTGTGTGTGTGTGTGTGTGTGTGTGTGTGTGTGTGTGTGTGTG